TACTCTTATGCCTGTTTTACACAAGTCACGGAAGAATATTAGTGAAGTTTTATTTCTGGCAAGCCAGCAAGACATTAGAGTGGTAGAAAAAGGAGATGCCCCGTAAGTCTACCTAAACCAAGGGAAGCTCTTGAGAAGTTTTGAGCTGGTTGGAAGACGCACAGTGAGTTTACACTAGAGAAGTACTTTGCGTTGTATTATGTTTGTTTGTTTTTTTAAAAAAATCTGTTACTAGGCTCCCCAAAACCTAGTAACATCAAACTAGAAACTTAATTCCAGAAACGTAAAACCACATTTTGAGCGATTCTGTGTGAGCCTGTGTTATCTATGTATTTTTATGCTTTCTCCTGTGTACTCACTGAGTCCTTCTGGTGGGACAGAAGCACAGCTTTGAATGCTAATGCTGTCCCAAATGACACACAGTTACTTCAGTTCAGTATGGGTCTACCTATACACATATATTATTCTGTCATTTCTCCTGTCTTTTATCTTTGACATGCATCATAACTCTCCTGTGGCACTTTTATTACAGGAAAGAGAAAGAATTTGCAGAATAGCTTGTTCAGAAACACAGACACTTTTGGATTTATAAATGAAAACATTAATTTTGCTGTTCTGATGCATTTTTGACATATTTCAATACTTTCACCAGATAAATGGGAGAAGGAGGATAGATGGACACAGGCTACAGAAGAAATTTCAGGGAATCCAAAGAATTTCTATCTTAAAAGTGGGGAAAAAAATAGATATGCTGAATCACAAGGTGTTTGGTGAATTTATAGATCCTATTGTCTACATTATGCAGGGTGGTTACATCTCTGCATAAACACTCCTGTATGTATCATATAATCTGATATTAATTCTACCAGTAAACATGAACATTGACATCATTACTCCTCCAAAAACACTGCTGCTATGATCAGATAAAGGCGCCTCTTTTATCTTGGCAGGGCTTTAACTTGATCGAGAGAGGTGGGAGTGAAGTAATACGCAGGCAAGTCTGTGAAGAAACAGTCTCTGTGAGTGAATTTGTCAAGCTTATGAGTTGAATAAGATGAATCTCATCCATAAGAACTAAACCAAGACTTGCAGAAGATAGGCATATTTCTGAGAAACCTCTAGAGCATGAGATAATAGCCTAGAGCATTGCAATTGACAAGGCACACCACTGTTTAGGCCACTAAATTGAGCTCAAATAGCCTATTCTGGAAGCAGTTCCTTAGGGTCATTTTATTCTCAGTGGAGGGGAAAACAGTGTTTCTAAGGGATGATTAATCTCATCGTAAGAGCAAAAGTTATGAAAAATTACGTGGGTCAGCTAAGAAAAATGAATCCTGAAACCAGTCCTGGGAAAAACTTCAGATTCTCTACAGAATGGCATTATGGAAGAAATTCACACTTAAAATCAGGTGTAATTTTAACAACAGATTTGTCTGGGGAAAATAAAACAAAACAAAAAACAACCAAAAAAACAAACCAACCCAACCTCTGCTCAGAGAGGAAAATGTTGAAAATGTAAAAATGTTTAGTTTCAAAATAATACAGATGGATGCATTTTGATTTTTCACTCCAAAGCAGTAATTAATTACTAGAGGTTTAAAAATGGCTTTTAGAGTGATGAATAAGTAAAAAAATTAAAAAAAAAAAAAAAAATCCAGAACATATCATTAGGGGGTAACATTTTTAATTGACTCCAAATTAAATTATTTATTTATTTACTTGTTTATTTGCTTGTAGACATAGATGAAAAAATATTACGGTATTGACTTTCCTTTCGGCTTCCACATCAAAAGATCCATGCTTCACCCCCTGCTCTACTCCAGGCTTGGGTGGGTTTAGGGAGAGGGTAACGAAATGCCAGACAATATCCTGGCTCTATCTGAAACCCCTTCTGCATGACTGGGTGTCACAATGCAAGTTACTGCTTGAATGTACTATGTAATTCTGGCAAGAAGTCAATAGGCTGGAACTCCTCAAATAGCCAAAGCATGGTACTAAGAAATCAGTTGAGCAGGCAGCAGCCCAGACAGCCAGTCCATTAGCAGCTTAACCACAGCAGATGTAAAGTCACCAACTAAACTCCCTACGGAATCTCCCAAAGAGACAGATGCTACTGCTATAAAAAGATCTAGAAACTTGGCGTGTCTCCTGCCCACATTTTGTTAAAGGAAACATACTCCAGATAGGAGGGTGGAGGTTTTTTGTTTGTTTTTTTTTTTTTAGTTTGGGGTTAGGGGTAAAGAGGAGGAGGAAGGGAAGGGAAGGGAAGGGAAGGGAAGGTAAGGGAAGGGAAGGGAAGGGAAGGGGGAGATACTGCTTATTTATTCTGGTTTGCTTGTGAGTGAAACCTTTTGCTCATGGAAACAAAATTCAGCAATAGCATGTCCTGAGACACAGAAGGCAACAGGCACAATTCCAGCCTTCTCCCACACACAGATTTGTGTATGCACCTCGGACTCACCTGCAGATCCTTCCTCAAAGAGCCCTGGGGGTTAAATACCAGCCATTATTTGATTCTGTTCTGCTTCACTGGTGACCCCAGCTTGCCCTGTGTGCCACACTCTTGTATTGTCCTCTTGGCTGGTAGACATGAACTCAGGTGGTTGTGCTTGTCGTGTTGCTCTTTGCCGCTCAGGTTACTCCATCAGATGACCTTGTTTGCTCACTTTTTTTTTTTTTTTTTTTTTTTTTTTCTCTTTTTCTGAAATATGTGTGAGCCTCATGTCTCAGCTGCTGGATTAGTATGATGAGGGTATTTCAACTGAGATTTTAGTAACAGCAACAACAAAACCAGTAACAAAACCAGTAAAAATGTGTAATCCTCATGGTACAGATACCATCTGTACCAATAAGATAAGCATCGAAGCCTATGACAGATGGAGACACCAACTCTACAGATATCTGCAATTAGATGGGTGAATGCCACCCATATGTCCAGATGAAAGGCTCACCTGCATCCATGGACGAGGGCAGACTTTGGGGAATGTATGGTGAAGTATTCTGCAAGATTTAGATGTAATACCTCAAGGTGAACCCATACTGGGAGTCTGAGTAGAGGCAGGGTGCTGGCTTTATGTTCAGTAGTTAAGAAAGAAAGCAGCTGATGGCCCATTGGAGAGATGAGGATTTCTCCTCCACCTATGATGCACCTGATGTGGTTAATTAAATCTCCCTGAAGAGAAGTCAGAACAAAAAAAACCCATGCTTTGATCTTGAGAGAAATTTTGATGGTCTGGCCCTAGACTAGACCAGTAGTCATTGTGTGATGCCAATAGCCCAATTCAGAGATGAGCTTTGGTGACAGAACAACGGGGGATGGAGGACAAAGAGGAGGTAGGCACATGGTACCTGCTAGCAGAGTGTTTCTGGACAGAGCTCGCATAAAGTTCATCAGTTCATCAGTTGCATGAGTTCAAGGGGTCTTTAATGAAGAGATAATCTTGTAAGAACATCGCAGAAGACAGGAGACTTTCCCAGATTATTCATTGCACCAGCAGGGAAGGGAGAAAGAGCTACATTGTCCAAGCACTGTATACCTTTGATTCAAACCAATATTAGGCTATCATTAAGGTCTAAATATATATTTACAAGATGGTGATGAAAAAATGCCTATGAAATGGTGTTTGCTCCGGGACAAACTAGGACCTAGGGAATCACAAGAGCCAGTGCTGAGAACGGAAGCGGTTGCCCACAAAAGGAGCCCTGAGGGGGACGTGGGCCACTGGGGGTGACTGTCTCTGGTGTCCCTCTGGCGCACTAGAGAAGACCCAGTTTCTAATCTCAAGGCTTTATCAACGGCCTGTTCAATGCATGGTTCTGTTCAGGATCGCTGTTTCAGAGGTGTTTTTTTCAAAACCAGTGTTTCATGGTGATAATTTGTTGGGATTTTTTTGTTTGTTTTGTTTTGTTTTGGGTTATTTTAATGCAATTTACTTGCACCTGTGTGTACAGTTAACCCAGACGGGATATAAGATATTCCTGTCATTATCAGTATCTTTCTACTCCTCCCTCTTCACTAGCTTTTTAAATTTCCTTTAGCATTGTATTGCCATCAGTTTGATACCGCATTTAGCTCTCTAACTGCTGATTTTCTCTTATGGCTATTCAGTGGTACGTTCTGTTACAGTTTGTATATTCATGAAATTTGATAGCTTGTGTTCTCTCATTCCTAGCAAATCTTCTCTGTGGGGATGACCTATTATTCAGCCATTGCTATGCAGTTTGTATCCTGCCTTTCCAATGTTCCGCTGATTATCTTTCCGCTACTAAGTTTCCAAGTTTTCTGTTTTAAACATACCTCCTGCTTAAACGCAGTGTTGCATATTCAGACTTTTTGATATTTCGTAAGAAACTGTATCAGCCTCTAGCTTCTCCTTTTTCAGTCCCAAAGGTTATATCTTTTTTTTTTTTTTTCCTTTTAAATTTATTATTCCTCAGAAAATGAGCCAACTGAATCAATGTGCTTTTTCACGCTTCTCAACTTTCCTTTGCCTCTACTGAGGTTTTTCCCAAGAGCATCTATTTCTCATTTCCCATTCCCTTACACAGACACAGAAACAATGATGAAACCAGGTGTCAAAGCATCCCGTGTTTTACTGCGAAAAGCTACAGGACCAAGATATGTATATTAGAACAATTTCCAGTTTGCATTGGGAAAGACTTTTTGCTTGTTTTTTAGGTCAGACTGTTAGAATGGGAAATAATCCCTGTGGGTAAGAGATGCATTTTAGCAAACATTGTGTGCCTTTCTGTTTCATTATGTTTTGTCTTTTATCTCTTATACATTAAAGGTGATATCTTCCAAAGCTGAGAAATGTGTGAACAAGGTTGGGTTTGTTGCAAGTACTGGTCATTCTTCCTTTACTCTTTTTCTGTAAAGACTAAGAGTATTCCTTGCATACATGAAATTCATACAACTGATTTAGTTTCTTTTCCCCCTTACTCTCTTACTACTCTCTCTCTTTTTTTTGTTTTTGTTTTTGTTTTTGTTTTTGTTTTAATGCAATAAACACGAAGAGAAATATCCAGTTGTTTTGGAAGGAAGATGGGAGGGAAGGATATGGCTACATGACAAATATGCTTTTTGATTGATTTAGTAATGAGAAAACTTACTCCCTTTTTCTCCCCTCTCACTTAACAGTTTTGCACTGCTGTTTATACCCTGTAACAGAAAAAAAATTATAATGACCAGGTATTCACAGTTCAGATTTCCAGTTTCTTCAGTTTCCTAAGTGTATTGAATCTTCACAGAGGCCACCCTCTTCCCATGAAGAAAGACGAAACAAACATAAAAATCCATTTATCCAAATAACTTTAGAAATAGCACATTTTGTAGCTCTGTAATGGGAATCCAGGCTGAAAAAATGAGAAGACATTCCATTCCATCAAAATCCAAGGCCAGCATCTGGGATTCTCGACGCCTATCTTGTCCTAAAAACAAAGTTATTTTTAAGCATTAGAGGAAGAAATAAGAAACAAACAACGCCACCAGGAATCAGCCTCACTTGCCTCATGCATCTGTACTCATTGGCAACGAGGCCTGCAGCTGAGTGTCTCTGCACTATGTAGATGCCAGCTGACATCAAAGAGTAATCCCACAATAGGACAAAATATCCTTAGTCAGTCCCAACCCCACGTTCTTACACTCAGTGTGTAGATGATGGACAAAATATGGGAAGCAGCAATATGAAGAGGCAATATAGCCATACCATCCATGAAGCCAGGTTAAAGGCTCAGCTTTCCAGAAAAACAGACCAGTTCCTGAGCCACTAGACTGTTTCTCCTACTCTGTTATCCCTTATTATCTGTATTTATTCTCCTAGTAACATTTGAGCACAGGGATTTCTCTTAGCTAACGTCTAGATTTCAGGCAGGATTCAGTTCTCAAACTGTAAGTATCTAATGTAATTTGAGACTCCCAAGGCATTCAGAACATTCCCATACATATGGCAAATATGACATAGTGTTCGTGGGAGATTTGTCTTAGCGTTGGCAGCTGGACTCACTGCATCTACATCCCTTCTTTGGATTACATGAACCACTTTGCACGCTCCGTCTAACTGGACCTCCTCTAGGTCTACAAACAGTGATACTCTGCTTTCACGCAGACACTTACTTGTAGGCATCTTAATCTGATGGGAGCCGAGGAAGACTATGTCGGCTGGTCAAATACTGATGACATATTCTAGGATTTCACTTACAGCCACATGTGTTCAAGCCATAGGGCTCAATTCACTTCCCCGCACCTCAGCACCTAAAGCCACCTGAGATGTCCTCGAGTGCCCTACCTGGCTGCCAATTGCCAGAAAGCACTAGCCTGATATGGGCTCTGCATCCCATCTGTGAGGCCAGGGATATATGAGACACCTGGAGCATCTCAAACAATGCCGTGAACCTACATGTGGGACACCGAATTGAGCCTCTGTGTACACACTATGGACTGTCCCTACAGCTGTACTGTGCTACTACTTGAACTTATGTCTTTAAATAGAGTGGGTGTGTAAGGTCTGTGTTAGAGAAGTAGGTATCTGAACAACACTGACAAGATCCAACTCACTCCCAAAGATGTTCTTTCCCAGCATTTTGAGCTGTTTGATTAGCTCCCATGAGTAGATATGCACCCAAGAGATAGACGGTGAGATAAGGTTGACTCTGTTCATACACATTCAATCACATGGCAGGGGGAGAGTTGTGTGCATTGCCTTCACAGGGGCTCCATGTAGTCCACTGTACACATCCCACAGCCCCGCTCCACATTGCAACTGTCACTGGAGCACAAGTAGGGTATAAGTGCTTTCCAGTTATGTGAGAAAGCTTAATGCATTCTCAGTGCCAGTCTGAGAGTATTCTCTACAGCAATGTCTACTGTGAAGGACAACTAGTTGGCTATAATCCTGAAAAATACTTGAGCTGTGGGGTAAAGGGGAGGGGGCTGAAAAAAAAAAACAGTGGATGAGTCACTAACTGAAGATGTAATTGTTATAAATAGTATGTAGCACCTGTGGACAAGCCAGTGGAGAGGCTTTATGTAAGAAGTCAGTACAGAGTAGTCAAAAAAACTATGCTCAGAAAATAAAGAATGAGAAAAGGAAAGACAATTCAGTTCTTACACTGGGATACAGCTCTACCTTTCCTCCAGCATATGGGAATGGCCAAGAAACATGTGCCGCTACTTTATTTTTGGACTGAGATCCAGATTCCCCCTGAGTTCAAATCCAATGTTTTGGGATTTGTTTGTTATATGCTCTATGGCAAAGGGCCACCACCCTTTCAAGGGTAAAGATTGCGTTTGTCTTTCCCTAAACAGCAGGGAGTTGCCCACAGCAACACAGCAGGGAGTGGAAGATATCACCACTGAATGACACCCTTCATGGCTCGTGGGCAAATCAGTGGCACATTGGTTCTCTGTGAGCTAGGGTGTCTCAGCTCCCTTTCCAAAACCATCATAAGCAAAGACACTCTTGCTGGCCCCTATGCTGCAGCTCCCAGCCCTGTGAGACCTTTACAGCCTACCACTGCTCACTTGTATTCTTCAGTGGCTGACGTTGCTTTAGGTGACTAGAAAGATTTTTGGCATCAGACTAGGAATTTCCCATGGGAGTGGGTTTAGGGTAAGATTAAGTATTGAAATATCTCTAAACAACAAGTAAGGATCATGCTAGCTGTGCGATCACCCACTATGGCTGTGGACCAGTCCAAATCTTTGGAATCCAAAATGGGGAGCCAGTGTTGGAAAACCAAGTGTATGTTCAGAGAAGATAAATGCCTTTAAGAAATAAAGGTGAACCATAATAAGAAAAGAAAACCAGTCATCTTTTTTAACCAGTTTATATTTTTTTCAATTATGTCTTGGAACATAAATCCCCAAAATCTGGATGTGACTCCTACTTAACTCATTCCCTGGGGTGCCAGTGAACATAATCAAAAGTCACCACACAACAGACAGGTCTCAGTGGGCTGGGATAATGTTAGCTCCAAAATCAAAACACAGCCAGGCCTGGTCAGGGCAAAGTAGAAAAATAAACCAAAGCAGAAGAAAAAAGAAACCCCAAACAAACAAAACCCCAACCAACCAGAACAAATTTGAAAGAAGCCACTGCTTTTCTCAGTTTATCAGATACTTTGCAGAATATATGGAGTTGGTTAACTCTCAAGGTCAGACCTTCCTCAGTAGCTGACAGAGATAAATAATGGTGAATGCCAGCTGAAAATAGCAGGCGTCTTTTCCAGGAATACAGAAAGAAACAATGACCAGAAAATACTGGAAATAAAGTGCAGCTCATTTGCAATGGCGAGACAGAGATACCCTTAATGGTGGTGTGGTTTGGAGAACGCTACTGAATAAAGCCAGAAAAAGTGCTAGACAAAGCTCATGGCTTTTCTTGGAAAACCAAACCATTGGCCAGGAGGTGTTGGGAGCCAGATTTATGAAAGGTCAATAATTATCCTCCTAGTGTAGGTTCAGTGACATATGCATGCTTTACTCCTTCTTATTTACTTTTCCTTGTATTTTTTTGCCCACTCTTTCTCTAGTCAGCTCAGTTCTATGTCCTCGCCTTTTTAGGAGAAGTCTAGGAGCAGAGACTTGTAAGTGGACATGAAAAATATGCATCCTTTGAAGTTTCCAGTCAATCATAAAAGAATGGACACTTGTTCTTTGGAGATCAAACACTTTTAGGATATATTATGTTGGACTTCTGAAATAAAAATGTCTGGATTTACCAGACAATTGCAGAAAGGTCACTGATCTTCCATGCACTTGATAGGATGAAGATAACATTTGACTCATTCTGATCCTGCTTCCTTGTAGGGCATGATGAAAATATTCTCTGATTAGTCACTTACACATTCTTCAAGCCTGTCTCAGATGCTCAGACCAAAATAATAAGATATTCATGGAGGACAGAAGAGACTCACCTGGCATTCAGTTAGCCATGATATGTTTCACAAAAGCTGGGAACAAGAGAAAGAGAAGGGTCATTTATCAATTCCTTTTCATTGATCTCAGTAACATCCTGGCTGTTATTTAAATTCAACTCTTTTTGGCTCCTCTGATGCAACAAAGACCACACAATTTTGTAAATAATTTTCCAGACACCAGGTGCTAAATGCTTTGTAAGACCCTAAGATAATCTATATGCAGTGCAGTGTAGTGTAGCCAGCAGTCTAGGTATCCAGTGGGAATGAACACACACATCAGTCAGTCCATAGCTTGTTTAATCCCTTACCCCTGGCTGCCATACAGAACTGGCTTCCCAAAGTATACAGCCATGAGAAACTCTAGGGCCTCATCCTGCAAGTCTCTGAAGGCTTCAGCACATTTGTACTAAGTCAGGGGGCACTGAAGGTGCCTCTGGAGTGAAACTCCAGAATCCACAGAAGGTCACCGAGTCATGTATTGTGACACTATCTCTCCAGTGAACTCAAGTTTACAAATGAACAAGGTATTTCAAAGTCAAATTAAGCTTTTGTTTCAAAACTTTTTGGGTTCCATTTTTCTCAGGGTAAAAAAAAAAAAAAAAAAAATAGTTACACATAATTATGAAATTCAACAGGAAAAGGAAAAATACATTTTGCAGTAAAGGAACATTTTTTTTCCTTCCCAGTAATCCCCCCACGCTATGAATTTCTCTGAGCTCAGCGTAAGTTCATGAGTCATTTGGGTTGGCTAAATCAACAGATTTCTATCAATAAACTACTTGTAAGAAACGGTTCCCTGAGTTCAGATCATGGACATTTGTAAACAGGGGGGGAACCACCAACCCGAACATTCATAACAGGCTTAGTGGATATGACAATCAAGCTAAATGGTACAACGGTCAGTTCCCAGTTAGCCTTAAAGATTCAGCTGTATACAAATCATGTGTTGATGATTCCTACCAGAATATTGTGGTTTTATTGAACAGCCTGAACAGCTTGCAAAATGCAGGAGAGAACCATGGTCCATTTACTCATTACCAAATCCTCTTATTGTGGCTTTCTACAATAGCAATTAAATAAAGTGCAAGGTCTTTGGACAGTCTTGTAGGATTATTAGGACACCAAAGAGGATGCTAAGGATCAATTTTGTTGTTGTTGTTGTTGAGTTTTGGAAGGAAAATTTATTATTTTTCTATAAGGAAGTCTCAAAAGGGATGTGTATCACTTTTTGAGAGGAAAAGGAACTGTGAGAGCAGGTAGAAAAAACAATGTAAAAATGTATTTTAAAATGCAAACAAAATAAGAATATAGAGCCCCACCTCCTGAAAGGGCCAAGGACATTAAGCTATGGAAAATAGAAGAAAACTTCAACAGATGGGGTGTATCAGATCAATTATGAAATCTGAATTGGTCTAAAATTTGAAAAACACACATCCTGCTCCAGATCTTCCACAGATTTAGCCTTTCTCAGGACAATTGACAGAAATCCTTCAGGCACATGTGCACTACTCAGACTGGAGTGGCCATACCTACCTTCATAGTTGATACAGCCGTTGGCATCTTCCTGACCAGCCATTAGTTTATCAACTTCCTCTTCAGTCAACCTCTCACCTGGGTGGAAAGCAAAATGCCTGTTTAGTACCTGGGTCCTTTTTTGTGAATTTACGAAGCACATTTCAAAGAACCAAATAATACAAAAGAGAGTGAGAGGGAAGAGGGGATTTTCTCTTCAGTTTAATTTATGGTGCTGACTGCTAGGAAAGCTACTTTTGTACTTGCAAACTAAGAAAATTTGATCTGAAAACCAGAAAGAGAGAACAAATATGGAAAACCACATGATATCATATACACATACTCATTCTTCTAAGTATAAGCTTTCTCAAAGTGCCAAATCTTGAAGGATTTAGTAATTTTTTTTAACCAAGTCCTCACTAAGCAAACTGCCTCAGAGGTTCAGGAATATTCCAAGGTCAAACTTAGGATCTGATCTGTATCAGTAATCCATTCCATTTAATATAATTATCTAAATATTAGGTACCTATTTGCTCATAAGCTTTCATTTTGGTTAAGCAGAGATCAACCAATTCCATCCCCTTATTCTTGTAATAGCCACTGATTTTAGGGTGCAATCAAATGAATTCCAGAAAAGTAAAAGAGAAATTTGACAGTAAATCAGCTGAAATTATATATATATATATATATATATATATAAGATAGGATAGGATAGGATAGGATAGGATAGGATAGGATAGGATAGGATAGGATAGGATAGGATAGGAT